AGATTGTGTCGTTGAATTACGGTGGGGACATTTACTACCATGGCATCAAAAAAGATGGGTTGGCCGCCAAAGAGATAAACTCCGAAGAAGAAGATTACGACATTAGCAATATTGCCGGAACCAGTAAAATTACCCGAAGCGGTAGAATCTTCTCTTAGGAGACCCCCCCCCCCCCCAAAGGCAGTTTTTGGACCCGTGGCTGCTTCGAAAGTTACTTCTATACCCATAATCATCTCTGCAAATGCTCCTATTGATGAAGCCATTACAACCCCTATTGTCATTCCTACCAACACTCCTACTGCTGAAACCCGAGGAAAAAGTATTCAAGAAGAGCCTGTCCGGACGAAGGCTCAATCACTGACTATTCCCGAAGCTTCCAAGAAAGAAATGGAGGACATCTTAAAAATTATAAAGAGGAGCGACTACGACGTAGTCGAACAGTTGGGGAAAATTCCCTCCAAGATCTCCATGCTAGCATTACTACTGTGTTCCGAGGCACATGCGAAAGCCTTGGTGAAGTTCCTTAAAACAACACATGTGCCTCAAGAGACGTCTGCCGACCAATTTCAAGATTGTGTAGCCAGTCTGACAGTAGATAATGGCCTAGGCTTCTCAGATGTTGATCTGACACCAAGGGGAAGAAAGCACAATGAGGCATTACATGTCTCTGTGGAATGTAGAGGCACAACTCTGGCCCATGTCTTGGTGGATACTGGCTCATCTTTGAATGTTTTTCCAAAGAAAGCTCTTGACAGACTTGACTGCGAAGGACTGACGTTAAAGCCAAGTAACATAGTAGTAAGGGCATTTGATGGCTCGAAGAGGATGGTACACGGGGAGGTAGATTTCCCCGTAAAGGTTAGAACTCAAACTTTCAATTCAACCTTTCATGTAATGGACATCCACCCCTCTTACGCCTGTCTGCTAGGACGGCCATGGATCTATAATGTTGGCGCTGTCACCTCTACATTGCACCAGATGTTGAAATATCCGGCTCAAGGAAAGATTATAACTGTCCATGGAGAGGAAGAATACATGATTATCCATCTCAATTCCTTTCCGTATGTGGAATTGGACGGTGAGTTCATTGAAACTCCTTTTCAACACTTCGAAGAGGTCCCCCAAGAGATTGCAATGACCAAGACTATGTCCCAGATTCCCAAGATTACAAGACCTCCACTCCGGATGTCATCTCTGAAGGACACCAAAGCAGTAGTAGAGGAAGGAGGATGCACCATCTGGGGGCAACTTCCAGACATCCCGTATAAGTCTGATAAGTTTGGCTTAGGTTTCACTTCAAGTGCTCAAAAGGCTGTACACCGTGCCCGTGCTGGAGGGCCACCCTTGAAGATTAGCAACCGAGAGGTCAACGCGATAGAAGATGGTGAAGAGGATTGCAGCTTGGAGGATTGGATATTTCCGACTATCAATGGAGGACTTCGCAATTGGGAGGCCAGAGACTTTTTCCCAATAACTTTCATCCCTCGGTAATTTATCTTTTCTTTTTGTTGTTGGATCTGTAATATTCACAAACAATTCACACTCCTAAAACCTTGTGTCTTGCCCGAGGCACAATGGTCCATTTGTAAGGGTTGTTATTTCATCTTCATATGACATTCAATGAATCATGGACGTTTTTCGCATGCAAACTTTTTGGATTATTGTTTTTCTTTTACACTTTATTTTCTTTTAAAGGTGGTTATACCCTTACACACACCCACACTCACAAATGCAGGTACCCATCCACTCTGGATCCCATGGGTAACGATACTGCTATGGCTTTTTGTAACTCTGAGGATCTAATCTACCAAGCCGAAGATGAAGGTGAGGAAGATTGTGAGGTACCAGGGGAACTTTCCAGACTGCTACAACAAGAGGAAAGAGCCATTCAGCCTCACGAAGAACCTGTGGATACAATCAACTTGGGTACCGAGGAGGATAAAAAAGAGGTCAAGGTGGGTGCCAATTTGGAACCCAGTGTCAAAGAGCGCCTGACTCAGCTGTTACATGACTATGTTGATATCTTTTCCTGGTCATATGAAGACATGTCGGGACTTGATACAAATATTGTGGTACATCATCTACCTACGAGAGAAGACTGCCCGCCAATAAAACAAAAGGTTCACCGCATGAGACCTGATATATCAGAAAAAGATTAAAGCGGAGGTCATGAAGCAATTCAATTCTGGATTCTTGGTTGTCACTTCCTATCCTCAATGGGTTACCAACATTGTTCCCGTACCTAAAAAAGATGGCAAAGTAAGAATGTGTGTGGATTATAGAGATTTGAATAGGGAGAGCCCTAAAGATGATTTTCCACTCCCCCACATTGATATCCTGGTTGACAATACCGCACAGCACAAGGTGTTTTCCTTCATGGACGGATTCTCAGGTTATAACCAAATCAAAATGGCACCTGAGGACATGGAGAAAACTACATTTGTCACACAGTGGTGCTCATTCTGCTACAAGGTGATGCCATTCGGATTGAAGAATGTTGGGGCAACCTATCAACGCGCCCTGGTAGCTTTATTTCACGATATGATACATCATGAAATAGAAGTCTACGTAGACGATATGATAGCCAGATCGCAAACGGAAGAAGAACACCTTAATCACTTACAAAAGTTGTTTGAGAGACTGAAGAAGTATAAGCTGAGGTTGAATCCAAACAAGTGCACATTTGGAGTACGGTCTAGTAAACTCCTAGGTTTTATCGTCAGTAACAAAGGTATTGAGGTCGATCCTGCCAAAGTTAAAGCAATACAAGAGATGCCTACTCCTCGTATTGAGAAGGAAGTCAGAGGATTCTTGGGACGCTTGAACTATATTGCCAGATTCATTTCTCACTTAACAGCTACTTGTGAGCCAATCTTCAAGTTATTGAAGAAAGATCAAGTAGTCAGATGGAATGATGATTGTCAAGTTGCTTTTGACAAAATCAAAGAATACTTACAAGAGCCTCCTGTGTTGATACCACCAGTCGAGGGAAGACCGTTGATCATGTATCTAACTGTTTTAGAAAACTCAATGGGGTGTGTATTGGGGCAGCATGACGAGTCTGGCCAAAAAGAGCATGCTATTTATCACCTGAGCAAAAAGTTTACCGACTGTGAAACCAGATATTCCCTGCTCGAGAAAACTTGATGCGCTCTGGCATGGGCTGCTCGCCGGCTAAGACAGTATATGCTGACTCATACTACCTTATTGATATCTAAGATGGATCTGATAAAATATATCTTCGACAAGCCTGCTCTTTCTGGGAGAATAGCTAGATGGCAGATGATCCTAACAGAATACGACATACAGTATACTACCCAAAAAGCTATAAAGGGCAATGTATTGGCTGATCATCTTGCTCACCAAGCTGTAGAAGACTATAAGTCCATGAAGTTTGATTTCCCGGATGAAGACATCATGACATTAGACAATTGTGAAGAAATCAGGCCATATGACGGACCTAAACAAGGATCCAGATGGACCCTGTTCTTTGATGGGGCATCCAATGCACTTGGTAATGGTATCGGCGTCGTACTCATATCTCCAGGAGGGTGTCATACTCCCTTTACTGCCAGACTTTGCTTCAACTGTATGAACAACATGGCGGAGTACGAAGCATGCATCTTCGGTCTCAGAGCTGCCATAGACTTGAGGATCAAATCCTTAGACGTGTTTGGAGATTCAACTTTGGTCATCAGTCAGATCAAAGGGGAGTGGGACACTAAGAACCCAAACCATATCCCTTACAAAGAACATGTTTTGACATTGCTACCACATTTTGAGAAGATTACCTTCGAGCATTTCCCGCGAGAAGAAAATTAGCTAGTAGATGCTCTAGCCACAATGTCATCTATGTTTAAACTCAATTGGGATAATGAGGCTCCCCATATCACCATCAAGCGAATGGATGAACCAGCACATTGTCATGAGATTAATACTGAAGAAGTAGTGGACCAGCCTTGGTTTCATGAAGTCAAGAGGTATCTCGAGGCTCGAGAATATCCAGAAGGGGCTTCAATCAATGATAAGAAGTTCTTAAGGAGATTCTCTGCTAAGTTTTTCCTTAGTAACGGCATCCTGTACAAACGAAAACATGACTCCATTTTGCTTCGATGTGTGGATAAGGTTGAAGCTGAAAAGATCATGGCTGATTTACATGAAGGTACTCTCACTACAAGAAAATTGGCAGATTGCGACAGGTATTTTTGTTGATTACGACGGTTAAAACCGTCGCAATTTGCTTTCCACGACGGTTGCTTTACCGTCGCAGAAGTGTGTGTCCCCAACCTATTTCGCGACGGTTACAAAAACTGTCGTTCAAGTTTACGACGGGTTGATACTGTCATGACTATCTTTTTAGTTTCTTTTAATTATTGATGGCGACGGTTCAATACTGTCGTGAATATCTTTTGAAATTGATTAAATTGTTTATGGCGACGGTTCGATACCGTCATGACTTTTGTTGATTATTTTTAATTGTTGATTACGACGGTTCGGTACTGTAGCCATGACTTTTGTTTATGTCTTGATTTTTTTTTTCTATTATATATATTTTTTATTTAAATTATTATCTATGTAAAAAATTTTAAATATAGTTTTTTTTTGTGTTATTTTTTTCTTTAAATTATTTCTTCTTTAATATATTTATTTATAGTATTATTTTTTGTTTTATTTTCTATCACTTTGTAATATAGTAAAAATAATTTCAATAAAAAATATTTAACATCAAATAAGCATTATAATATCCAAAAAAATGTGTGTTCCATAATCATGTAAAATGCGAGTTCCATAATCATGTCAAGTAGTACAAAAAACCCAAAATATATCAATTCCTAATCTTATAATAATAAGTATCATTATGCCAAAAATACATGAGAAAGTTCACAATCTAATTATCTCGATCATAGCAAAGTCTAATTTGTCCCCCCTGAAGTTCCATTATCTCCAATACGGTAGCTAGACTCAGATGAACGTCTACCATCAGCGGGTGATTCCAATCCCTAAAAAAATGTATTAAAATAATAATCTTGGTTAAAAGGAGCTCCATTTTGAGAAGCCTTCAATAATATCCATTGTTATTACATGTTAAGGGTAAGACAAATCACTAAACATATTTAGAAAAAACTAGAATTGTAAACTCACTTCAGCTAGAGCACGGGCTTCCTTGAATGAACTTGATTCATCAACATCTTTAAATCTTTCAAAAGCATTCTTCTGCACAGTTTCTTCTGGAGACACATCTACAAAAGCTGCAATAAATAAATATTTATCAGGAAAATTTTAATTCCAGCAAATTTATATTGACACACTTCACAATTTGTTATAATTCAAAGCAGTATGTTTCCATTACAAGTGACTTAAGAAACTGTAGAGCCATTAACTAACATGATAGCATGCAAGCAAGGTTGAGAAAATAATAGGTATGCACACACTAATGAATAATCCCAAATGATACAGACATAAATTCAAAGACATTCACCTGACAATTAGACATTAGTTAGTGACGCATTCAACGGAAAACTAAAACAGCTGATGTCTATTTAGGGAGCACTATCAAGTTTGTCAGAGGATACTTGCATGCAAGCAAAGCTTAAAAATAATGTTGTGGCATAGGCTCACTCAAGCTATTATAAGTTTATAACAAAAAGAAAGCTGCAAGATAGTATACATGGAAATACTAGTAATGCGCCTATGGTAGGATGAACCAATCGACAACAGTGATTTGGGTACAGCTTTTACTTAAATTCTTAGATCCACATATACATCTGATAGTGGACACGGAATCACACTACTTATAAATTGCAAATGTAGTACATGTCATCCAACAAGAAGATAAATGGGAGTCATGAACAGAGATTGTATGTTACCGGATTTTTTTGGTTCATTCTTTACTTCCACTTCTTCTTTAACATTAATGTCTGGGGCCGAGGCTGCTGCTTCTACTTTGGTTGAAGGTATGTCTACTGTGACAGTAGATTGAGAGGCAGTTCTTGCAGAAGTTGCTTGAGATTGATTACCATTCGAAGAAGAAATGCTAGCAAAAGTATGCACAGTGACCTTCCCCTGCACTGAATTCAAAATGTTAATACAATGTCGAATATTTGTAATGAAGGAGTTTTCCAAACCAACCTCCTCACAGACACAGTGACAGGAAAGTTACACACAAAACATGAGTATCAAATACTCCCATGGTCTTAATTCCTCAGTCCTCACATTGCAATCAGGTAGAATAAATAAATGAATGTATGTTAGAAAACATGCATATATTTCTCAAAACAAGAGAATCTCATCTAAGACTATAACCCTATAAACAAAAAGTGTGATCATTTTGCTGCAGATCTGAGTAGATCACAAATTTAGTACCAGACCTCAAGTTCAAAATGTAGTAGTAATAATAATGCATTATGCATATACATGATGTTAATTTTATGCATGCTTCTACCTTATAATGTAGCATAGTTGCTTCAAAAGAGAGAGGCTAATGCTACATTACATAATAACATGGCACTTTCAAATTTCTTTGGCTTCTAAATGCAAATTCAAATAGGTAAACAACAAACTGATTAATACCAGATCATCATCATCACGGATAAGTCCCTTATCGCTTCCTTCTCGTTCCCTGAGTAATTTATTTTCTTCTTCAAGTTGAGCACAACGCGCTTTAGCAAATGCTAAATCCGCTTTAACGGTTTTTAGCTCACGAAGAAGTAATTTTGCTTTTGCTGCTGTTGCCAATGCCACCTGAAATCAAAACAAAAGAAAATGTAGCTTGTTTGGTTACATAAGAATTTAACAGAACTTGGATAGTAGAATATGTATGTTCCATATGTGAACTAAATTTAAATTCATCACATGAGAGGGACTAAGAACAGATTCTACTAAGTTAAAATGTATTAACAATTCCAAAATCATTATAAGATGTTCTATCATCTATGCCTACACTATAACAACTAACGAGACTGCAACCATTATACATGATTACACAGTTGGCACCTTAGGATTGCTTAAGTTTTGTTTCATGATTAGAATGAGACTGTGTCTGATCTGATTGCTGCCATGGATTCCTTATACTTGAAGCTTGGTTTGTGTCACCTTTTCGCCTGATTTGAGATCTCAGGTCTGCTGTCTTACTCTCCACCATTGTTCTTCCATCCTGAGGAAATCAAAGAAGTTACATTGAAGATATATAACAATCATCGATGCGCACTATCAAACACATGAAATTCAGAAATGTTGAAGGAAAATCAGTAACAAGACCATCAACACATTCGTCTTTCACTATAAATTGTAGGTACTCAGCAGTAGGATCATAGTTATAATCATAGCTTGAAAAGAAATCATTCGCAAAACCAGAAGCATACACTTCCAGTCCTTGTTTATGTGCATCAGATACTAGGGTTGTGAGAGGCCCCAAGTAATTGTTTGGTTTAACTGGCCATATGTATTCTTTCGGCACTATTATGCCAGATGCATATGACTTGATTGCCGCAAGATCTTTCACAATGGTGCCATACGGTTGCATTGTTGTTGGTTCGACATCACTTGCGTTAAGAAATTGAAAGATGAACTTTGTTTTCTTCCTAACTTTCTCATTGACACTTGTTAAGAAACCGATCTCTGGAGATGAAATAAAGTCTATAGTATAAAGTCTCAACATTTCTAGTACTTTATCAACTAGCTTTACGTCGTGTTGGTCATAAAATGCTTGATACTGCAACAGAACAATCAATTTGAAAATAAGAACTGTGTATAAAATGATTATGTGTCACGAGATAGAGATGGAGAGAACCTGAAAATTCAACCAAACCCTTGGTGGAGTTTTGCTACTTAGAATACCATCAACATTGAGTACGGGAGATAAGCCGTCGTAGAAACTTGGACGCGAAAAAATGGCCTGATTCACTGCAACATAGGATAAGAACATAAACCTCAACTTTATAATAAATAAAGAATCTCTTAGTTGAAGACTTACTCGACACATTGTGGTCAATCTGAGCAGCAGTGTAATCCACCATGAAGTGTCCTTGCACATCCTTTCCATTAATGTTGTAGGTTTTCTCATTTGGATCAAACGTTGTTATAGTTTTTGCATTGTCAAGTTTAACTCCTGTCACACAAAAGGCACCAGCATCTTTTGTAAACTGAACATTACAAAGAAAAATGCTTATCTCCTTCGACATGCCGATTGCTTCTCTACTTCCTTCTGGGAATAGACCCGTGAATCCTCCGCGTGCTATTACAGCTGGCTCGTTACCTACGGTAACTCATATGGTCAAGAATTAACAAAAACAAATCTTTAAATCTTCAAAATTATATTTTCAGAATTCTAGTACTTACGAGAACATGTTATTTTGAATATAAACAATAGAAAAATAAAAGAGATGAGTTTTATTATTGGTTGTTTAAAATGTTTTTACACACTACATAACAAGTTTATAGGTGAAGCCTTGTGATATCAATTAGTATAATACAGTTTCATGTAACAGACATATATGGATAAATACTTCATATCAATATGTTTACTACATTTAGCTAGGTACTTCAAGAATATTTACTTATGTTGTGTCAGTGTGCGAGTGCGACCTTAATATTGCTTTGTACTAGGATTTTAAAGTGCTTTTGCGGTCCCGTATGAATGCGATTGCAAACATTGCAATTTTGGTTATTACAATTGCTTATAAGAATAATGTATTTGTAAAGGCACACTCAAATTTAAGATAAAATTCTTATAAGATAAAATTCTTTAGTCTAACACTATTAAACAGTGATATAGTAAAGGCACACTCAAATTTAAGAATGAAATCATACCTCAAAGACGCACGAGGGTTTGAAGAGCAGCGAAGCAAGTGGAAGAGAAAAGTTACCTGCAACAAAAACCAAAGCAGCATATCAATAGTTGGTAGAAATCATAGATTTATCAAATAGAAATCTTATATTTTTCAACAGCTCATATCCCTTTAAATCCAACAAAAACATTATTATTTTCATTCTAGTGCAGAAGACACTTCATGTTTCAGATGCATGAAGTGGTGCAGCTCAGTTTCTTGAGAAGAAGGGGTTCACTCAATTTACTCCTCACTTTATAACTTTGTACTGCCCTAATTATTTTCTTTTAAGAAATCAATGCAAGTCTCAGTGTATAAACAACGGCCGGTACTGTGCTCCAGACCCTCAATAGCATCTATGATATAATTTAACAGAATTCCAGATTACTAGATCTGTTTTGTATTATTTATAAACTGTCAATGTTTTTCAATCGACGCTACCGTCTTCCCCTCTTTAGATCAAAATGTCTCGAAGATATGATAGTCGTACAACAATATTCTCACCCGAAGGACGCCTTTATCAAGTGGAGTATGCAATGGAAGCTATTGGAAATGCTGGCACTGCAATAGGAATCTTGTCAAAAGATGGAGTTGTTCTGGTTGGCGAGAAGAAGGTGACATCCAAGCTGCTTCAAACCTCAACTTCGACTGAGAAAATGTACAAGATCGATGATCATGTTGCATGTGTTGTTGCCGGGATTATGTCCGACGCCAACATCCTAATCAATATCGCTAGGATCCAAGCACAGCGTTACTCATTTGGGTACCAAGAGCCTATGCCCGTTGAGCAGTTGGTTCAATCTCTCTGTGAATAGTCAATTCTAAAACAGGACTACAAGGATGATATCACAAGGGAAGAAGCAGTTCAACTTGCACTGAAGGTACTGAGTAAAACTATGGACACCACTAGTCTTACCTCGGATAAGCTTGAACTTGTAGAAGTTTTTCTTTCACCCTCTGGAAAAGTTAAGTATCAAGTTTGCTCCCCAGAGAATTTGACTAAGCTGTTGGTGAAGTCTGGAGTGACTCAACCCGCAACAGACACTGCTTAGCTTTCTGTTCTATGTCACGGGTAATTTACTTGCTAGAGTTTCCTACATGTGAGATTGTTCCAAAGTTTTTTTACGTTAAAACTTGTAAACTTCTCATACTTTGGTGATGCTAATGATTTTGCATTTCGTATACAGACTCGACAAAATTTGTGGATGGAAAGTGCAGATGGTGTTCAACGGCTCAAATCTTATTGATCAATAGGATCAAAATAGTTTGCAGGAATTTCCCCAGCAGTCAAAGATGCCATACTCAGAAACTGTTTGTAACCCCTACCCAAAAACCACAACCCTAAATGGCAAATTTTGAATCACATCTAAAAACCATAATTTTACACCCCAAGAAACTATAACCTGATAACTCAAATTAAAACTGAACCGGAATAAGAAACAGATGAACAAGTTAATATACCAAAAGCACAAGGAAAATGAAAACAATGAAGGCTAGTTTAATGAAAAGGGCTAAAACATGGATAGTGGCTAAAAAAGAATAGATGATACAGAAACTAAACTCAGAAATCTCTGCTCAGTTATAAAGAAAAGTGAAATATCAAAGATGGAGAGGAAGATGATGAAGAGAATGGCAGAGAATGGCATCAGGTTTATAACCCCTGTCAACCATGCGCTTAAGAAAGCGGAGAGCTCGATTGTACTTAGCTGATTTGAATGACCTAATGAGAGCTTCATCGTAATCTTGATCAAGTTTTGGCCTTGTTTCATTGACCCTGATTCTTGTTCTTCGGTTGTTGGTGTTGTCTGGGGTTGAGGAAGTGACGATAGTGTTGGGATTTGAACGGCGAGAAGTGCGGTTTGGGTGGTTTCTGAAATTGAGAGTGTGTGATAAGAATTCAGTTGAAAAGGTTGTCATTGATGATGACGATGATGTTATCGGTTGTTGTTGGAAGATTTATGGCTTGAGTTTGGACAAAATTCAGTATCATAGAATGGATAAGGGACGATACATATTTTATCCTAACCAAATATTATCCTAAAAAATCATTAAAAAAATAAAACCCTAAAACAACAAATTAAAAAACCTAACATCAATTCAATATATTCAAACTCAAATGAAAGGTTTAAGGGTGCGACGGTTGTTTTACCGTCGTGAAATGAATTTTAGGACGGATAATTTTACCGTCGTGAAAGGTTTAAGGGTGCGACGGGTGCTTTACTGTCGTGATATGCCTTTTAGGACGGTTAATTTTACCGTCGTGACTAGTTGTTGGTGAAAAAACAATGTTAAAAGTGTTAAATGGGGGACGACGGTTGTTTTACCGTCGTAATAATAATATTATGATGGTTAAATATACCGTCACAAAATAAATATTAGGGACGGTTGGTGTCAACTGTCGTAAACACTGTCTCTATATGTCAATTACGACAGTTATCACATAACTGTCGCAATTTTTGTGTCGTTAAACACTAATTTTCTTGTAGTGTCTTGGCACCCACTCCAGTGGGCATACGATGGTGAAGAAAATCCTACGGGCAGGCTATTATTGGTCTACCATGGAGTCAGGATTGCTATCAACACTCTCGGACCTTCCATAAGTGTCAAATTTATCCTGACAAGGTGCATGTACCTCTGGTTCCTTTGAATGTCTTGACGGCTCCTTGGCCCTTTGTTATGTGGGGGATTGATATGATTGGAGAAATCAAGCCCACAACCTTCAATGGACACCGCTTCATCCTAGTGGCCATTGACTATTTTACCAAATGGGTCGAAGCAGCTTCCTTCGCCTCTGTTACCAAGAATGTTGTTGCCCTCTTCATTAAGAAAAACCTTATTTGCCGGTACAGTATCCCGGAAAGGATCATCACTGACAATGATACAAATCTCAACAACACTATGATCACCGCCTTGTGCGAGCAATTCAAGATCCATCATCATAATTCTTCTCCCTATCGGCCAAAGATGAATGGTGCTATCGAAGCTGCAAATAAAAACATTAAGAAGATCATACAAAAAATGATAGTCACATACAAAGACTGGCATGAGATGTTGCCATTCGATCTCCACGGGTATCGTACCACGGCTCGCACATCAACTAGGGCAACACCATATTCTTTGGTTTATGGCATGGAGGTTGTCTTGCCTATTGAGGTTCAGATCCCCTCTCTGAGGATTATGAAAGATGTATGGTTGAATGAACACGATTGGATCCAGACTCAGCTTGATCAACTGAATTTAATTGATGAAAAGAGACTTACTGCTATTTGCCATGGTCAGATGTATCAAAAACGGATGATCAAGGCCTTCAACAAGAAAGTCAGACGTCAAGTATATCAAGTTGGGGATCTAGTGATCAAGCGTATCATCTTACCACAAAGTAATCCCAGGGTAAAATGGACTCCAGCCTATGAAAGACCATTTGTAATCAAAAACATATACTTAGGTGGAGAAATGATCTTAACCACCATGGATGGCGACGACTTGCCACACCCCGCGAACACGGACATAGTCAAAAAATACTACACATAAGAGACCCGCTAGGTTGACATACCTAGGCAAAAAAAAAGGGCATCCCGACGAACCATAAGGTTCGGGCAGAAATTATGGATAAAATGAAAAAAATCTGTACACCCGGCAAGTTGAAAACCCGAAAGGGCGACTTGGGCAAAAAAGGGTTTCCCGGTGGATTGAAAACCCGAATGGGCGGTCCAGGCAAAAGTTAGGGAATAAAAGCGTATGACTATGTCCCGTCGGATCATTTAACGGACGGCCTTTGGCTTCGGCTGACAAACTCAGAGTTTCTGATCAATTCAATCATCTTCGGACAAGGCAAATATACATGATACTCGAAGATACGAAGGCTATAGCAGAATGGGAACCCCATGGGATTATTACACATAGCTATCTTTCTTTGTATTAATTTTTTTGTTTACGACGACATTCTTTTACTAGAATACTTGTCTCCTTTGTACAAAATATTTACTCAAAGTCAATACAGAGATGCCCTTTGAAAGTGAAAAAACTATTTGTCTTTTTCTTTACACTTGTGCTTTGTTTACAAAAATGTCCAATGATTCATCAATGAACATATGCATTTGAACATGATTACTGTTTACAAATAAACAAAATGAGAAAGATAATTACTGATAGGTTGAAAGAGTAGGGAAATCTCTCTAGGCTATTTTATAAGAAATCCCCTACAGTACGTCATTTCAATCCCCAAGCGGAACAAAGTTTCAGATTAAAAATTCTCAGTAGAAGTCATCAAAAATCTCAGGATTCCCCAAGCAGATCTTACAAGTAGTACATGGCATTTCCCTCACAACAGAACTTATTTCTCTCAACAAAAGTTC